AGCAACAGCAATCAAAGGTGGCTGTTTGCCTTGCAGTGTCAAGGAATTCAGCCAACTCTGGGGAAGAAGGCGGGGTGGGGTGGGAAGTTGAAACTATGAGAAGGCAGATGACTTCTCAAACTGTCTTTAACAGGCATATTTGACTTGTCCTTGTTTTCTGAGACTTCCCTCTGTCCTGCTCCTGTTTCAAGGATGACTTGGCCCATGCATACTCCAAACTGCTACCACACATAGCTGCTGCAGCCATACTGTACCCTCAAGACAGTCAGTGTCGAGTCTATTCAGAGAAGTAAATGTGAACATAGTGTGGCTGGCAAGAGTAGCACATGGCTGTAGAATTGCTGAATGCAGCAGATCTAATAAAGGGTGAGGTAGTACTTGTACATCTCTAAATAGAGCCAGAAACCCTTGATCAAAAGGGAAAATTAAAAAGATTTCATCTTGCTCAGAAATAGAATGTGCGGCATAAAAAACATATTGAATGGAATCCTCCTCACAGCCCAGAGTTGTATCAAATTTTGGTCCATCCTCTTTTTCCTGCATTGCTGTTTCTCCACCTTTGAACTCAAAACTCAAAGAGTCCAGTAACAAGATTCAGGCCACGCTATTGGCTAGCTGTGTTCTCTAATGGAATGGGATGTGGCCTCAAAATTCAAATTTAGTGGGTGTTTCTCTTAACTCCTGTCTAGAGAATAGAGCAGATTGTGGGTTCTATTTAAGTCATTTGAGATGAATTTGGTTTGATGAGTAGTTCTTTTTTATGCCCTTTTAACTTTAAAAGCTGTCTCCCAGCCATTCTGGTCCCTTCATTTATTTCTACCATCAGAGAGGGGTGAAGTAAAGGAAGAATCCTTCCAGGTAGTGACCTAAATGTTCTCTGTCATCAGGATGCTGCTTAGAAACCCTTGAAATATAGGGCATGCTTACATGTTCCCCACTAGGACTGGCACCAAAGCAAGCTTTGATTTCATTCTTAAATCCTCTGCCATGCACACTTTTCTGCTATTCCCACTTTTAAATTTAGTAGGTCACAAGGGAGTGATTTACTGCTTGAATTCCTCTGCTCAGAACCAGGAGGCTTGGGTTCCAATTCAGAGTGAGCCACTAATTGGGTGATTGCAGGTGGCTCTCACTTTCTTCTCCAGCTGTGAGATCCTTAGGTCTCTTCCTTAGTCTTTGGGACTCTGTTGCCTCAAGTGAGTAAAACAAATGAGTATGTGGTTCCTTTTAGTTCTTGTTGTTTTTTGTTGTTTTTTTTGGGGGGTGGGGGCCACCCAGCAGTGCTTAGGGCTTAGTCCTAGTTCTGTGTTCAGGGTTCACTTCTCCTAGGCCTCAAGGGACTACATGTGATATTGAACCCCATTCATCTGTGAGAAGATCTACTGCCCTTCCCACTGTACCATCGCTCCAACTCAACTTTGCTGTATGTTTTCCTACCTCATTTTTAGAATCTTTAGGAAGATTGACTCTATTATGTGTTTGTCAATATCCTACAAACTTTACACATTGCCTGAAAGCATTTTTTTAAAAAACGTTAAGCCAGAAAAAAAAAAGTAATGTGATGGACCATAAGTCATCTTCATGTATGCTGAGATAGGAAGGAAAACCACTCTAAGTCTTGCTAGAGGTGAGACAGAACCCTGAGGGAGTGAGCACCCTCTGAACGGTGGTGTCTCTGTTGGTGTCAAAACTAAGCAACTACCCCCCCGCCATTATCCTCCATGGGTAAGAGCTCAGCTAGATGCATCCTCCATAATGCAACGTGTTCTTGCGACAGTAATTGTTTTCCAAGTTCCAACAGATTAAAAGTTTCCCCAGTCCCTTCTCTCACACTCTTGCTTAAAGAAGTAAGAGTTATGTGGTATGTAAGAGAGTCAACAGCTGACAAAATGCTTCACTTCTTTTTCTCCCTACTGCTACTGTCTGGAGACAGATTATTAAAATCAGAATTCTAGATAGGCAGAAACACTAATGCAGAGAAAAAATTGGTAAATAATTATCTTCTTCAACTTTAACCTCTCCAGTCCTCAAACTAAGAAACTTATGTCATTGCAAGGGAAATTTAAAAAAATATTTTTTCCTTGTTGGAATCAAAGACTTGGCTCCAATACACATGGTCTTGAAAATGCCAAGCAAAAGTGCCAAGGAAACATTCTGCCTAGCTTTGAGGCACTTATTAGACCACACCAGGATTGCTCTCCCTGCCTGAGGTTTGTCTTCAGGGTCGTACATGTGACTTGATGGTAGAGGAGCCTTGCATCTGCTAGTTCTTGGTTTGATTCTTGGCACTACAAAAAGAAAAGATTTTTTTAAACTCCCACCTAGGCTGGATACTAGATATTGCAGGAGCTTCTTTGCAAGACTTGGTGGATTCTGAAGTCTGACAGACCTTTATTATTGAAAATCTGTATAATAGTAAAATTAATATACATAAGCCAGGCATATTTGGGAGGGTAACAACAATGTCTGGTATTTGGTACCTTCACTCCTCAGTTCCTGGGACACTGTCTTGTAATCTATGTTTAGTGCATGCTGGGTAACCCATTGATCTCTCTGCAATTTGAAGTATCACTCCCAGGAGAGAGCACGATGAAGACCCTAGTCTGATTTGTCAGTCACTTCTGCTGCTTCCACCATTCATGGGTAACCAGGACCTTGATATATCACACAGGGAGACACTTCCTTGATCATTAATCTTGTATGGATTTTCCAATGTCCTAGCTCTTACATAAAGCCTTCTTTTCATAATGACTTTTTATTCCCTTCCAACTTAGAAGAGTATGGAGAAAGAAATTGGTTGGGGGGATGTTAGTAGGGCTCCCCCAGGAGCAATTGAGAACCCAAGGACCACTCCCAATACTGACAATTTGGTGCTCAGTCCGGGCTAGGGCCTCTACAGGAGCCAGAAGTGCCAGGGTTCATTATTGTTTTTAATGTAGCACTGTCCTGTAGACTGTCCTCCCGTTGTTCATCGATTTCCTCAAGCAGGTACCAGTAACATCTCCATTGTGAAACTTGTTGTTACTGTTTTTGGCATATCGAATACACCACGGGGAGCTTGCCAGGCTCTGCTGTGCAGGCGGGATACTCTTAGTAGCTTTCTGGGCTCTCTGAGAGTGTTTTTAAATGAATATTTATATTTTCCAAAGGTAAAGGGTAACGAGATATATTTTACCCATTTCCTCTGCATCCACCCCAACCCAAAAGAATCCCTTCTTGGAAAGCCCCTATCTGTGCAGACTGACTTTTAAAAGAAATCAAAGGTGGAGGTGGCAACAGACCAGAAATTGGAGTTTAGTGAATGCCAACTGCAATTGTCAAGGCTGCTGCTGCCCCCTAAACCACAGGTGTTCTCTCAGTCGGTTCTCCCTTTTGAAGTGGTGTCACTCCAGGTGTCAGCAAGAAGCTTGGCATGTTCAAGAAGCTGCTGTCCCAGAACCCTGAAGGGCCATAGGTTTCCACAACACAGAAGTACAGCATACGGTAGAAAGAGTGTTTCTCGGGAAAAATCTCCTGTCTTTAAGTTCCAGCTCACCATGGTGAGAGGAAACACTCAAAAACACACTGAGGCTACCTAATCAATCATGGTCTTTATCTTTCATGAGAAAGCCACTGAGGCAAAGAGATATCAAAGAGGCCCCAAGATCTCTAGCAGTAATGCAGTGATGGGTAGGAAGAGAAAACACCTCATGTCTTTCTCCACAGACATCTTTGATCTGATAGTGCATAGAAGTGATGCATGTGTGGGTTCATGGTCACTGGCATACTAAATATGGCAGACAGTCCCTTCTCTGAGCTATGGATTGCAGGGTCATTAGCTGTGGACTAGACACATGCTTCTCTCATTGGTGTACCTTGTACAAGTTCTGAAACCTCAGACTCAGTTTTGTCATCCATAAAGTGGATGTTGTGAGCTCTGTTGCAAGGAGGGTCCAACAAAACTTCTAGAAAAGCCCCGTCTGTGTAAAGTGGAAGGCAATGTATTCCTGTAAGGTGTGATTATGTATGATGAATAAGAAGGAAAGAATTCCGAAGCCAATTATTTTACTATCTTTTCACTAGGCTAGGTAATCTAGCCAGAGGGTGAGCGGATAAGATTTTCCCCACTTGTGTTCACAGCCAGTATGTTAATCTATAATACACAGGTGTCTGAGTTCCATTATTTATAAACTTATTTTAATATGCTATATTGTTTCCAGCACTCTTCTGAATCTCCAGGCAATAGAAAACACCAAACTGAGAAAAGTTCTTTGCAAATTAACTGGGCCAGGGAAATTCTTGCCACCTGTTTGTAAACCTAACCTATTTGTGCCACTAACTTCTAAAGAGCATAGCATTATTGAAGTTACCAGAGCACTGCCTACAATCAAATCTTTTTCTCTTGCCTTCTTGAATGTTTTCCCTTATAAAATCTGCCCCAACTTTCCCTATGTAAGTAATAAAGAAGTTTTATGTTTGTTTGTTTGTCTGCATTAAGATATATTTGCAGCAGGTTTGGTAACCTAAAATTAGAATATTTAATAAGCAACTACTGACATTTATCACCTTCCTTGGGATTTACCACTGACCTCGCGATGTTATCTTTCTTGAACTAAATTAAAAGACAAATTCAAACCCTGCATGGTAGCCACCAAAAGCATATATTTGAAAAACAGAATTCAGTGTGCCTTATTATGCATTATTTAATGGTATGCAAATTATAAGTCAGACAGTTAAGGAATCCACACTTCAGCATTAATAAACAGCAACATTACTACTACATTAATTATGATATTGCTAAGATTTATTCCCAAGTTTTGCATTTTGATTCTCCTTGAAAATTTATGCCATCTGATAAGCAGTAACCTATCCCCCCCACACACACCTCCTACCCATTCCTCAAATCTGTTCCTCCTACCCACCCGATGGATGTCTGCAGGAAACGGATACAGAAATACAAAGTCCTAAGCAGCTGCATTGTCTTATAAGCATTAATAATTAAAGAACAAGCAAACACCACCTAAAGCTCCAACATTTATTGTGTCAATGTTAAGCACACTTTTTAAAAGACAACATAGAATGTATAGAAACAAGGGGTGGGGGGCTCATGCTCATTTCCACAATACGGGTAATTAGGTTGGCTGGTTTCAAAAGGGCCAGGATGCCGCGCTCTGGACAGCGATGGTGGGGCAGGGGGGAGGGGAGGAGGGGTGCCTCTCTATGGGACTTATTCACTGTTCCAATGTGGGTTTGTTTTTTTGTTTTTACTTTTTATTAAAAAATATAAATAAAATGGCACTGCAGGCCCAGGCAGGAAGGACTCTGCAGGACTCTGTCTTCGCACAACGGCTTCTTGGAGGCTACTGTCAGAAAACATCACAAACTAGCAGGATGACAGACCACGGTGACGTCGGCTGGGCGGTATGTGTCCACCCCGCCCCAGGGGGCTTCAAATTTTCTCAGAACTTAAGGGCTCTCGAGCTTCCATCCGAAAACTGCCACACATCTTGAGCTCTCTGGGTGCTACGCCGAATGGGGGTGTGTGAAGAACCTAGAAAGAGGTTGGAGACAGAGGAGGGAGGGGGGAAAAAAAAAGTACAGGTGTGACTTGGCCCAGTGATTTTCTGTTCTCTAACTAAGTCCTTAAAATTATCACTTAAGTCAACCACAGGTTATGCCACTGGCATCTGAGATATGATGGCCAATGCCATCTCCTCCATCCATACCTCCCCCAAGCTCTGACTGCTGAGTCCCTTCCCCCTACCTCCCCACTTTCTTCCCCAAAAGGCCCAGATCCCCTGCCCCAGCCTATGAGAGACCTAAAATGCTGGGGACACACCTGGAAAGAAACACTAGCCCTTAGAACTGAGCAGACTGAGTAGGAAACGGTCCTTTACTTGAGGAGAACAGGGGCGGGGAGGAGGGGAACGGGGACATTTCCTTAAAATAATAATAAAACTATAAAGAAACGAAAAAATCAAAATTGATGTAAAAGCAGCACAACAAAAACATGAAATGTCATCAAGTTCAACGGTCAAAGCAGCTAACAATTTACAAGAGGCGAACAAATCTCTGAAGAGGAAATCAGAACCCAAAACAGTTGCTCCCAAATGGCACCAAAAACTGCCTGCAGTTTCTTTCAGACATGCAGTTTTCTTTTCTTTATTTATTTTTATTCTTTTTTTTTTTTCGTTTTTGGAAGGGGGAAGGCAATGGTGAAGGGAAGAAGGGAATGGTTATTTTCCTCTGGGGTTCCTCCCTGGCTGTGCACATTCACTTGAAGCAGCTGATGGGGGGACTCCGGATATGCAGAGGAAGAGGGCTACACTGTGGCATTCCAGACCTCGTTGCCATGGCGACCTGAAGCAGGGGCCTGGGGCCCTCTTCTCCCCTGACTTGGCGCAATAGAAGGCCCAGGATCTGGAGCTCAGCTGCTCTCCTGCATCCCACTACCCCCAAAGTAGAGACCATGGCTGAGTGAGTGGGGGCCCCTTTGGGTTCAGGTGGGCTCTGGGGAATCCCATTCCCCATTCAGCCCAGGTCACTGTCCATGAAGCCCCTTTGGCTGATACCCCAATCAACCCCCTTTGTCAGACCTGTTACCAAAATGTATAGCCCTAGCAGTCAAAGTGGAGTATGGGCATATAGTGCATTCATGATTATTTTAAAGCATGACCCCCACCACACCCCCCAAGAATTGAGGGATTCTGCTTTAAATGATAAGACTTTGGGGAGACTTCTTAATTTGCCTTTTCTGCTGTCTTAAAAGACCTGATTCATTTGTGCTTCCTTTGGTAGTCTTTGCCTCTTTATCAAAAGGAAAAACAGTATTTAGATTAATCATTGAGTTCTGTCCAGCCAAGTTGAGGTACTTGAGTTTAATGTCCCATGTGAACTGTTTGGGTCGCCTTTTCCATTTGAAAAGGAAGAATTAATCACATCCCAAAACCAGAGAGAGAGAGAGAGAGAGAGGGAGAGAAAGAGAGAGAGAGAGAGAGAGAGAGAGAGAGAGAGAGAGAGAGAGAAACAGGCTCATCCCCCTATAGGCTGATCCATGGACCTTGTGTTTTAGTAAATAAAAGAGTGGGCTAATGGGATAACAAGATGACAGCAAGCAAAAATGCACTCCTAACAAATCCTGTCTCTGATTTGTAGCTACAGTCATCCTGGAATAAGTGAACATGATCCCAAGTCTCTCTAAAGCTGGTTTCATTTATTCTTAATTGGAAACCTGCAGGGCCTTAAGAGATACTTAGGAAAATTTCCTACGTGGCTCATGCTTTTGAAAAGTTAGCAGACTTTTTCAAAGCCATTTCCTTGCAGGTTTCAAGAACACTGTCAATCTCATCTCATACTGACAAAATCCTTATATATTTTTTCAATAGGAAGTTGTCTGAAAAAAAAAAAGAAAAAAATGGGCACATTTTTGAACTTATGATGCCCAGGGTCAGTGGAGTAACAGAATCATAATGAAGAACATACGATTACAACACAGCCATCAAATAGCATGTTTGTGTGTGTGTGTATGTGTGTGTGTGTGCAGGGGTGGGGGTGCGTGTATAGGGGAAAGAGGTTTAAAAAAAGAAAACTGTATTTCCTCTCTTATTCTCTATGAGTCAAGTGCTTACAGCAGGACAGGATAAGGCCCAAAACTTCTCATCTCCTTTGCAGGAAGGCCTGAAATATCCCGGAACCTTCTAACAAACTTTTAGTGTCTGTGCATAAAACACCTCTTTCCTTATTTCTGCAAATAACTTTATACCTAACCCCCACCACTGCTTCCTTTCCAAATCTCACTTCAAGTTTTATGCATATATACAGTAGGTACCTATTACATAAACAAAAATGGTATTTAAATAAACTATTCTATCACAGAATGCCTTGGAAAAAACTCAACTACTTCACACTTCCTGCCAATACTGGTACAAATGAAGAGTCAAGTGTCTACCTCACTTCTTAGCAACCTCTTAAGTGTGTTCATTTCAGTCCATTTGTGTGTCCTAAACAAAGAGAGGAATGTAAATAGATGGAGGGGTAGTGTAAAGACAATGGAAGAGTTTCTGGATTAAAATCTGTGAGAAACTACATTTGCTGACTTCCTATTTATTAAGTTATTCTCAAAACAAAAATTAAAGGGAAGATTTAAAGCACCAGGAGTTGGGGTAATGTCAAGTACTGTGTCATACAAACTTACTTGAGAATTTTGAAAAACTGTTAGTGCCCTTGATATTTCTTCATTTTAAAAAAATATATCACAAATTCATCCTGTGGTTGTACATGGCATTTTTGGTATTTCATATTAACATTTTTTTCAGTGTCTGGAGACAAGTTATAACATATAAGTTATGTTCTCACTGCCTAGGTTTTCATTGTTCATTTCATTTCAGAAATATCATTTTCCAAAAGAACTTCAAAAAAAAACTAGGAGACAAATTACCTGAAAGAAACTGTCTCCCAATCCAAGCATTTAACATTGGGATCATGGAAAACTAACGTGATCTGTGATGAATCCCCAGAGGTCCTCACCCCTTTCCACTCCCCCCTTTTGATTTAAGAAATTTGAACAGAGAAGTGTACAATATCCACCATTAATTTGCCTGTCAGGATGCAAAACCTAATTACACTAAGAGCACCCTATACTGAGAAATGAAAATGAATGCTGTATATAAAGTCTGTACAGCTGCACTTGGAGTGCCTAATATAAGAGTCCTACAAACACACAGAGGTTTTACGGACATTCAATATGGTGAGGCAGCAGTTACCATGTTTAAACCTGGTGTGGCGCTGGGGAGTATTTCTGCCTTGAACAACATTCTGGATTCAGCTGTGAAGTAACCTAATCCCATCTATCTTCTCCTCTCAGTTCACTGCCAATTCTCAAGTTCTTCAAGAACTTGAGAACCTGATCCTTCAATCCACCCCAATGCTCTCCTACTAGATTCCTCTCAGCTTTAACTCTGCTTCCCACCCAAACAGGCACAAAAAGGAAAAAAAAAAATCCACAAACATCTTCTTGCTCTTTGAGAAAGATCACATTACTCCTGCTTCAGGTGTAAGGTGTGACAGGCAAAAACCACCTCACAGGGAGCAAAGCATCAAACTAAGCAAAAGAAAAAATGCTACCACAAGATGACAGCAAAATGAGTTTTGTTTTGGTTTTTCCAAAAATAAGAACAATGTTGTAACCATTAGTCTGCACTGGGAACAGGGAGACAGTATAGCAGTGCTATATGTCTTCATGAAGCAAACAGATGCTGCATTTGTAAAATGACCACACTTTAAAAAAAAGAAATATAATTAATTTGCTTTCCAAAACCTTTCATTTCATAAATAGGTTGGTCAATAGATCACTAAATGGTATTCCTACCCTCACTTTCTATCAGCCAGGAAGACCCAATAAGAAAATAAGAACACTGAAAACATGTCCTGTCTAGGGTCCCTTGGATCCCAGAACACAAGACAACTGCTACCACCACACATATCAGATAACCAATGGTTGATTCCACAAATTTGGGTAAACTCATCATCACTACCCTCTCTCTCTCTCTCTCTCTCTCTCCCTTCCTCCCTCCCTCCCTCTCTCCCTCCCTCTTTCTCTCTCTCTCTCTCTCTCTCTCTCTCATAATTTTAATCTGATGCCTTTGTTTCTGTATTTTTCGATGGGGTGGGGATTATTTTAAATATGAGAAAAGACTTATGTGGAAATGAGAGAGCTAATTTTTCATCATTTTTACATTATGGTCGAAGATAGGGCAAGGGTGGGAGAATAGAAAAGAACAACAAGAACAGCAAAAAATTCCAAAGGAAATAAAAGTTTAAGATGCTATTTATTGCCAGTAAATTTTTTTCATTTATATCTGAATGTATTATGGCTAAGAGATGAAGGGGAAGTTTTAATGTCAGATTGAAAACACCTTGCATTTCTTGAAAATAATTCTACAACTATAAAGTCTAAATTTACTATTTCCATGATTTGAGATGTCTATTTTAGCATAGAATACTTTATCTTCCTTTAAGGTATAATACACGCATCAAAATGCCCACAGAAATAATCCTGAAAAAGACTGACTGGCCTTCTCTTAAAACCTGCTATTTTCTTGAAAGTAATTTACAGAGTGTGTCAAATGAGGACACAAGAAGCTTACATTGTGTACTTTAATTTTTTTTATTTTTTTCAATAAAGGGACAAAATGGGTGTATGAACAGGTTAATGCAGACAACTGCCAAAAAAACACAGACAGTGGTTTTTCCAATAGAACTTAACAAAGACCAGAAACAAATACAATAAAAAGCCAGGTTGTAATGACCTTTGGTCATCCAAATAAAAAAAAATAAAAACAAAGAAAAATAAAGATCAAATTAAGTGCCTCTGTTTTGAACAGGGCACAGAAGCAATAATAAATAGTGACTCCCATAGTAAAAGATAAAATTTCAAGTTACGACAAACAGCTTTCATTACAGGAATAGAAAAGGCCAATAACAAAATATTCTGCATTGCCATTTACAAAAAAGTATTGACTAAAGCGGGCTTTCTCTTTAATATGCTTTGCATATGAAATTCTTTCCAATCTAAATATAAAGCACCATTTAGTTTTTGGCAATGAAAAAAACTGCAAAACATTGGTTGTTTTTTTTTTCTTTTTCTTTCTTTTACTGCATATGAAGGTAAGATGCTGGAATGTAGGGTGGGAGAAGGAAAGGGACAAAAAGCACACTACATAACAAACCAACGTTATTCGCTTGCAGTACTGCATACAGTATGGCAGCAGGAAAAAGGAACAAAAAAGGATATGTACAACCCCTATGACAGCCATCCGTGTGACATTCTAGCAGGCTCCCCCAAACCGCCATTATATGGCTTCTCATCTGTATAATGTCACACTTTTTTGTTTCTCTCTTTTTTTTTGAAGCATACAAATAATTTGCACTATATTATCCTGCCAAATTAAAAAAATATACTGTGGCAGCCTGTCTTTTTTTTTCCACTACCAAAAAAGGTACAGTGATACCTTTTAAGAGAACAAGCAACAGTTAAAAATACAAGCTTCAATATAAATACTATAGTGCCTAACACTAGATGAACATTTAATTCAAATACCATTCTAGAAATACAGAAAAAAGACCATAAATGTGTTTTAGCATAGGAATCAACATGAGTGTGCATTTTCCTATATTTAAGTACTATATAATCTTAAACCTTTCCCCAATGTATGTTTTTTTTTTTACAACCTGAAGAGCGGTGTGTATCCAAGGCATAAAATTTCCACTACCATTTTTAAATGGATAACAAGTCTTGTAACACCACCAAGACAATGGAACCCTAAAATGCAGTTCCCCCCTAAACATAATGAAGTGTTTTTTAAAAAATTTTTCTTAACATTTATATTTTAAAAAGTTTTGTACAAAAAAATCCTTGCACTGTAGAAGCGAAAGCAATCATTCATTTCTATGTTAAGTGTATTCTGTTTTCCATTCACAGCGCTTGCAATGTTGAGTCCAAGTAAGTAAGCTCATTAGTCAAGTAAATGGCTGGCAAAGTTTTTTTAGTTTTTTTTAAATGCTCATCATTGAGATTGTGTTCAATTTTTTTTTCAGCATTCTTGCAACTTTTCCCTTAAGTATAGACCTGTAAACTGGGAAAATTGTACAGTGCACTTAATTGTCCTATCTGAGCAGGTTTATTTTATACTCAACCTCTGTATCTCTGATTAGAGAAAAGATACAGACATCACAGGCAGAGTCAAGTGCTATTTGAACACCAACTGGGGCAGATGCTAGCTTAATAAAAATAAAAAAGAAAAACAAATAAAAAATAAAATAAAAACAATGAATCCTCTTCCATGTTAACACAAATAGCACACAAGTGTATGGAAAAGAAATGAAGTACAACTTTTAGGGAGCACAGACATATATACTGCTACTCTTAAAAATTCTTTCTCTTCTTTTTTAGAATGTCACATTTAAATGCAAGTCTTAAGAATTCATAGTTAATCATCATTGTATCAATATTAGCTTATTTATCTGTTATAGTTTAAAATGGCAAATAGTACCACATTGTGCTAATAAATCACATATTTTGTTCCTCTGTTGCCCTCTGTCAAACCTTATTGTCAGCCTCTTCTTTTTAATATGGTATACAAGGTCTTAAAGTTTATTGTTTGATTGTCCATTTGACAACCAAGCAGATATGGATCTATTTCTTTTGATGCCAGAACTTTTTAAAGACATTATTTAAACAAGCATTTTCTTGAAAGCATTCTTTTCTAATATATTTAATCATGTTTCAGGGCTTTTGCTCATTACACATTCAATTTAATCGTCATTTAAAAAATAAAAATAAAACTCTGGGCCAAAAGCCCTTTTCTTTTAAGCTCTCACCAGGAGCAAAATAGTTTTTATACTGGTATAATCAGTTTTGTTTACAAGATTAAACTAAGGGGGAAATGATGATTAACTAGGACATAATGGGTCATATTTTTAGGTAGCCATTGTTGTGAGAAATACAATATAGAATTATATGCTTGGTCCTAAGGTTTATCACCTCACCCAATGCTGAATTAAGCTACAAGTTTATAACAAGTAGAAAGAACCATCAATGTGGTTTTAATAGATCCAAGGCACTCATTTCAAAACCAAATGATAGAATAAACTTTTGTTTTTCTGTGAATTTGTAGATTCAAGGCCTTTTTTTCCCTCTCCAATTGATTCACTTAACCCTTTAGAGACAGACATTTAGCCCATAGAGATTTTTTTCAGTGCTATCTATTCTGTCTATTGAGGGTTAATCCAAAGACTTCTTTCCTCCTCACATTATAAAAGAAAACTGTACATGATATGTATTACAGAATGTATGCAGCATGGTCTCTCTCTCGTTCTCTCTCTCGTTCTCTCTCTCGTTCTCTCTCTCTCTCTCTCTCTCTCTCTCTCTCTCTCTCTTCTCTCTCTCTCAGAACGGAACTGGAAATAGCAACATGTTTGCTCAGCAACGAATCAGGGACAATTTAAAATAGCCATAACATACCATACCATACATGCTGTCTAAGTTTAAAAAAATAAAAAACATACACAACATGTAAATTATTGCACAAGAGAAAGGCTCAAAGTTTGCGTAAAATGCAATAGTATTGCCCCATACAGATCATGCATTCAAACGGTGAGAACGTAAAGGAATTTAAAAAAAAGAAAAAGAAAAAGAAAAAAAAAGAAAACGGAAAAAAAAAACAGGTGTGCTGGTGACAAGCACTCTCATATTCTTAGCTTCCATTACTTGTTTGTTTTGTTTTGTTTGTTTAAATCACATGGGACTAGAAAAAAATCCTACGGGGGGAGTGGGGCTGGGGGACTATAGGGAAGGGGAGTGAAAAAGGAAGTGTCAGGTGGGAGTGAGGGCAGGGTATTAATATACCTCTATTCAGTTTTTATATCATTATTCAACACTCGATCGCTGTGCCATTTTTTCATGTGTTTCTCCAGGGTACTGTACACGCTAAAAGGCATCTTACAAATTTCACATTTGTAAACGTCCTTCCCCACCTGGCCATGCGTTTTCATGTGCCTGGTGAGCTTGCTACTCTGGGCACAGGCATAGTTGCACAGCTCGCATTTATAAGGCCTTTCGCCCGTGTGGCTTCTCCTGTGGACAGTGAGATTGCTACAGTTCTTGAAGACTTTCCCACAGTACTCACAAGTGTCGCTGCGTCTGCCCTCTTTTGAGCTGGGCCTGCCCGGGCCCGGACCACTAATATGGGGCGTGCTCCCTCCACTTCCCGTGCCGCTGCGCCCCGAGATCCCTCCGTCCAGCTCCCCCGGCGGCGTGGAGAAGCGCAAGCTCCCATTCTCCGAGGAGTGCTCCGACGAGGAGGCGAAAGGCGATTGTCTGGAGTCTCCGAAGCTAAGGAAGGGATCTTTGAGCTGCCTGGAGGCCGCGTAGCCCGCGAGCCACTGCGAGTACACGTTCTCCGTGTTGGGCATCGCAGCCGGGGGTAGGTCGAACTCCTTCTCGAGCTTGATGCGCTTGGAGAAGGGGCTCAGCGAGCTGGGGCTGCCCAGCAGCAGCTTTTTGGACAGGCCCCCCGAGGCCGACTCGCCCGGGGAGCAGCCACGGCCGTTAACAGTGCCATCGTCTATGCGGTCCGACTCACCGGCCACAGAGTCTTCGTCGCAAGTGTCCCTGTGGCCCTCGGCCTCGGCCAGGTGGCCCCGCTTATGCTTCTCGCCCAGGACCTGGTGGAAGGCCTCGCTGAAGTGCTGCATGGAGCTGAGCACCATGCCCTGCATGACATCGGGCAGGGCGCGGCCCTCGTCGCCCACGCCCACCACCGCGCCCCGCGAGCTGTTCTCGTGGTGGCGCGCCGCCTCCAGGCTCAGCCCAAAGCCGTAGTCCACCCTCTCGCTCTCCGTCAGCTCCTCCTCCTCCTCTTCCTCCTCTTCTTCCTCTTCCTCGTCGTCCTCCTCTTCCTCCTCGTCCCCGTTCTCCGGAATCAGGTTGGGGTCGTTCTCGCTCTTGAACTTGGCCACCACGGACTTGAGCGCGCTGCTGGCGCTGCCCACCAGGTCGCTGGTGCCGGGTTCTGGGGAGCTGGCGGTGGAGAGGCCGTCGTCGGACTTGACCGTCATGGGGGACGACTTGTGCATGTGTGTCTTCATGTGGCGCTTCAGCTTGCTGGCCTGCGTGCACGCGTGGTCGCACAGGTTGCACTTGTAGGGCTTCTCGCCCGTGTGGCTGCGCCGGTGCACCACTAGGTTGCTCTGAAATTTGAACGTCTTGCCGCAGAACTCGCATGACTTGGACTTGACCGGGGGCTGGGAGGGAGGAGGGGCAGATTGCAGAGGAGGGAGGGGGGGCGTGGCCAGGAAGGGCGGCTTGCTACCTGGCTGGAATGGTTGCAGTAACCTTTGCATAGGGCTGGGCCGGCCTGGGGACAGCGGTGGGCTAGACGTGTTCCCTGCCAGCTCTCTAAGTCTCCTAGAGAAATCCATGGCGGGAGGCTCCATAGCCATTGGATTCAACCGCAGCACCCTGTCAAAGGCACTCGGGTGATGGGTGGCCAGGGCCATCTCTTCCGCCCCCAGGCGCTCTATGCGATGGGGGTCCAAGTGATGTCTTGGTGGTGGACTAAACAAGGGGGGAGTGGGTGGAAAGCGCCCTTCTGCCAGGCCGGAAGCCTCTCTCGATACTGATCCTGGTATTCTTAGCAGGTTAAAGGGGTTATTGTCTGCAATATGAATCCCATGGAGAGGTGGCTGGGAAGGACATTCTGCACCTAGTCCTGAAGGGATACCAACCCGCGGGGTCAGGGGACTTCCGTGTTCGCTTTCTAAGTAGATTCTTAATCCATGAGTGTTCTGTGCGTGTTGCAAGAGAAACCATGCACTGGTGAATGGCTGTTTGCAAGTTGTACATGTGTAGCTGCTGGGCTCATCTTTACCTGCAAAATAATACAACACCAACATCAATGTTTAATCACTGAGGAGGCATTAGCAATTGCTTACTTCTGTTCCATCTCCAGCTGTCCCTGCACCCAGCCTCACCCTCAGGCCTGACCTCTGACTGAGAGAGATCCCCTGAGAGAGATCCCCTGTGAGATTCACCCTCTGTGTGGGGATGGTACCTGGCAACATGTGGCTGGAGGGGGTGTCTGGTGGATAATTTGTTCTATCTCCCTGCCATTTCACGCAGTTCTAAGAATTTAAACAAAGCACAACATCTAGACCAATTCAAGCTTGAAGGTGACAAGCCTACCTTACAGTGAACCTCTCCAATACCTTTGGAACTTTCCCTGCCTTTCTCCAGCTGCAGTTGTGATGGCAAGCTGTTTTCTCTCTGGGCCTCTGTTTCCTCATTTGTTACCTATATGAGACACTTGGACAAGGTGACCTAGGAGAAACTTTTCTACGTCCTAAAACCCATCATTCTAGTAACCCTCTGGGTGGCAGGTGAACTTTCTAAATAGGCAATCATTTCATGGAGGTATCAAAAATGAGAAGGTCAACTCATTACAATTCTCTACGGCCATAGAGATGCTTTTCATCTTAGCCTAGAGTACACTAATTGTTGATGTGCTAAAAATGAGAAGGCACTCATAAAATAATTCTGCAGGAGAGCAATAGCAGGCAAGCCTCCATCCCAACCTGCATGGGGGCCAGAGGGTCCCAGTGCCCACAACACCCCTTGGGCTCTCCCATTGGTATCTCCAGGAATGGTGCAAGCATCTCCAAAGGGAAGCTTGATTCGGATTTAGCCAATGAGGCTTCACCAAGGCTTTTGGAGTCCTTTCTCCAGTCTACAAGTGCAAGTCTGGAGAAGTCAGGAAGAGTGACTGCTGCCAACTTCAGCAGACTCTGCATCCTCGTTTAAGAACAGTTAAAGCCGCCAGCACCATGACGGGCAGCAGGCTGAGAAATGCTACACTCTCCTCCTCCTCATTATTTTGAGAGGCTAACAACGGTGAACCAAATTATACAACATCCTGCGCCCTCGTCTGAGCCTCAGCTCCAGTTGAGAAAGAAACAGAAAGATACAGTTCAGCTAGTCAACTCTTTGGCCAGTAGCCAAGCAGTCTGGAGAAGGGCCCTGCTTAAGTCATATTATTTCTCTCGCTGAAAAGAATCGAGAGTGGTAAATGCCACTTTGGCAAAGAGGGGCCAGCTTGACTTCACAATCATTCATTTTGGGAGATAGCTAAATTAAAAAACATATATACCCCAAGACCAACTGAACAGTTTACCAGGCAACTGTGGTATTAAAAAATGTGCAGATGTTGGTAGCCAATGGATAAGGATGAGAAAAACGGATAACTTCCCAGGGATTCCAAAAATGGCTGTATAAAATACAAATGTGAACTAATAAACTTTAACCCATCTTTTAAAAGAGAGGCCAGGGGAGTCCTTAAGACTTCACTCCTGTTTGTCAGTAACTTTTTTTAAAAGAATATTTTAAAAATAATCATGAAGCTAAAATGGGAGAAGGAAGAATTAATCAGCTGTGATTCCTCCATTTAGAAAGTCAGAAACAAAAAGCTGGCATGATCTGATCTTCTCAGGAGTCCCAAATATTCTTATTCCAAAACCTGCCAGCCTCATTTAGGTACTGGTCTGCATAACGGACTCCCTGCCCTGGCCTTGTAATTTACTTTACAATGCTTTTATAATCTCACTCATGGGTAAATCTCTTTAACAAGATTAGACGATAAGATACCAAAATTAGGTTTCAAGCATTTGCCTAATATGTGTGTGTGTGTGGGGGGGGGGGTCGGGGAGGGGGGGAGAAAGGCAGAATGATTTTGAAAGAAAATGCTGACATTAGTCTCACATTATCTTCCTATTTTTGTTTGCCTCCTGTCTTCAAAGGGAAATAAAAAGCATCATTGAGTGTATTTTCATAAATGTTTTGTTGTTGTTGAACAATGACTTGGGTGCTAAATAGGAAGGGGAAAAGCGATCTGGTTCCCATTCTGGTTGACCCTCTCTGGATTTCTCCTCTCCCCTTCTAAGACTCTGTGATTTTATCATATATTTAGACTGACAATCTGAAGCAGGCAAGTAAAAAAGAGATTTGTCAGTTGAAGCAAGCTTTTAACACTTTCAGCACTCCAAATGCCTTAAATCATATTTTACCATTTACTATTGTATTGAAACCCTGGTCTGGATGCATTATTAGTGATGTGGCCTTTGCAGGCACTATGGAGGAGACCACTGATCGATTCTCAAATCTACAGCTTTCAGTCAAGGCTCTCCTCTTGTCTTCATTCCCAAAGACTTAAATTAGAAAAACGCTTTTTATTTTGCTGTCCGGAGCATGCACATATTTTGTTTGCAGAGCTAGTTGTGTGATTGTGTAATATGTTAACACTCTGCTGTCTCCTTCCCCTCTCGTACATCAGGTCAGGGAAAATGGCATTTTATCTTATAATGAGCATACAACATACAGTTTCCACTATCACATTTTAGTATTCCCATCAACTAGATAGTCTAGATCATGAGGGCAGCTAGTGTAATCATAATGTCAATGAGAAGGGCTGTTACGATTTAGACTAAAGATTACATGGAAAGAGCTGCTTTGAAACTGGTAATTATTACCAGTCCACTAATAGCAAATGATGCATTACAGTTTCACCATATAATCTGTATTTCACTCAGCTCATGCCAGTGTACCATATTATATTACAGAGCTCACAGATTCTAAATTCCTAAACTGCAGTCATCAATAAATGTGTTACTTGCCATAATTTGTGAAATTACTTTGTTCATAACATCTTTGATGGTTTAGAAAGACCAGAATTGATTTCCTGCGTGGCAAAATTAGGGCTACATTGATTTATTGACGTGTAAAATATAATAATATTCTTCATTTACTCTGATGAAAATCAACTTCTCAATTTGAGAGCCTCATTGGGCATTCACAGGGATTGCTTTGATTTAGAGCAATAAACTGAGACCTGGCCCCAAGTATGGGTACTTACGGCATCAAAGCAGTTAAAAAAAATCAGCTATTAGCTTCCCCACCAGCATTTGTTTTATTTTATTTTATTTTATTGTATGGGAAGGAATGACCCCCCTCCTTCTAATTGGTCACATGACTAAATTCTCAAGTGACCTCAAAATTTTGAAGAACAAGGAGGTCTTAACTAGGTTCTAGCTACTATTAGCGTGTGACTCTGGGACAGACACTTCATTTCTCTGAGCTTCAGGGGTTTTTTTTGCCTGAGAGTTTTCTGGAACACTACAACTCCTTTCCACATACCTCATTCTGCTCACTCCTAAACTAGTCCTGTTAGCATGGGCACCTGAAAACTATGGATTCTCCCTTTCTTTGAGGTGGGGAAGATGACAGGGATCCCCACTTCAAGGTCTGGTGTCCTTTCCTTCCAGTCAAACTCCCTGGGACAGCAGAGATATAACTACACTGTTTCCCAGGCCAGCAGCTCAGTCTGTCAACTGCTCCTCCCTCTAATGTCCTACTAGAATCCTTTCCCTGCACTATCAGCCAAACATGGGCCTCAGGCACACCCATCAAAATGAGGAGAGCTCTCCCCACTCAGTAAGAAGGAAGAGATTTGAAATCATAGCCCAGACCCCAGAACTCTCTGCAATCTGTGACCTAACCCAGGCTTAGGCGCAGATGTTCTGTGTGTGTGTGTGTGTGTGTGTGTGTGATTGTGTGTGTGTGTGCATATGTGTGTATATATGTGTTTAAGGTGGAATCAACCCTCTTTCCTTCTCCAGTTTTTAGCTGTGGATGGCTCATACCATTTATTCCTACCTGGAGAAGCAAACTGCATTACCTTCTTAATCAGTATCTTTCAAAAACATTTTTATAAACATACAAATTTAAATTTCATACAAAGCTCCTCATCATAGAAGTTGGATGGTAGTGATGGTGGTGGTGTGGTAACCAAAAGAACTATTCATTTTTCCCTAAATCTAGGTGCAAAGCAAGTTAGATACATATAAAATAGCTTATTTATATATATCCACACCAAAATATGCCATGTTTTGATATACATGTAAATTCACATAAAATATGCATGAAGAATAACTCTGGAGTAATTAAACTTACTCCTTTTGGTTCTGGCCTCTGCTAATAGGCCATGATCTGAGCAGAAATGTGCCATGGATTCTATTCAAAGTCCTAAATTAGGCTGTGGAAGTGAACGTCAAGCAATAAAATAGGACCTGGAAGCTCAGACCAATGTGGTCGCCAGTGGTGGAGCCATACAAGACCCTGGGGAGGAGACCCACAGGGACATCTGCTGTCAGCTCCCTGCCTTCAGTGAGGAAAGGGAAAAGGGGGGGAGGGAAAAAGTCACTGGGGGCTGAGGATTGAAGAGTGGATGCCAAGTGAGTAATGGAATATTACATATGCAGATGCCAGTCTATTTTAGAAGTAACTCCCTTATTAAAAAGTAAGGGCAAATTCCGGAAACTCTCATCTCTATATACACACATGAACATTTGTAGAAGAAATAATGCTCAACTTACAAATACCCTGCGGGGCATATTCTGCACTCATCCCGGGCGTGGGGATTAGAGCTCCATGTGCAGAACGAGGGGAAGAGAGACCCCTCCAGTGCAGAAGTTTATCTGTGAAAGAAACCCAAAATCAAGCACTAGAGCTATAAACAATGTGCATCAGTAAACCACAGGATATCACATTTCAATTCCATTAAAATAGATTAACATCATTACAACAGCCTTGCAGATAGTTAACAGGCCCAAGGCCTATATCAAAAGTACAGTGGTGAGTTCTTTCCCACAGTTTCAGGATTTTTTTTTTAATTTGTTTTTTTCTGACAAAAGGGAAAAGACTTGTTTCAGGCATCAGGGGAGTGTCTTTGGTTTGTTCATTGCTTGTTTATTTATTGTTTTATTGTTCTCTTATAAAAATGGATGCATAAATAGCACAAGAAAAATGAGTAATATTCCGAATTGGCTGGGAAAGTGGGTGAATTTATCTGAAAGGCTGGTTTACGTGCATACGTTTATTTTACTTAATAGGCAAGATTAAGCAACAAACAACATGCTAATAGGAAGCGAATAGATTTATGAACCATTTCTTCTAGAACAGTGAGCCCCACTCTACCTTTCCCATCCCACTGTTCCCTTCTTCCCACACATCCAATGTCAGGGAAACATTTGGCATTTCTGGCCTTTACTTGGCTACATTCTAGAATTCTACCAACAGAAGATCCCACATACAAAGGGCTGCTTAGAGCTGTGAAGAGTGAAGACTAAATTTTTGGAGTTAAAGTATCATTAATCCAAACCCCACCTTGAGGGTGAGAAATCCTCCTATGAGAATCTTACAGAAAAAAATCCACATTTCGACCATAACAGGACCCAAGAAAATGTGTCCCACCTTCTTCATTCTATTGCACTTTGAAACACTCTGGTAAGGAAAATAAAGAAGACTTCTCACTCTAATAAACATAAATCTAGCAGTAAATCAAGCATTTCTAACACCAAGATTTTTTATGAGAAAGGAAATACTTGGTTTGTGCAATATGGGGATTATATGGTTTCTGTGGTAAGTTCCTAGCTTTTCCAAGTCCGTGTTGAGCTAACCAAGCATGCAGAGGTCAACCCTGAGACAGTGCAGGGCAGATGGATGGTGCAGAAGAGGCTGGGTTAGTACTTGAGACCCAGAGCTTGTGATGATTGGAGGAGGGAGAGAAGAAAAACAGACTTTGATGGTGAGTAAACAGAGTGTTTTCTATTATCTTAATATTAAGAACATTGAAAAGTGTTGTTATACTCTAGGATAGCAGGTCTCAAGTGTAAAATGCACCCTGTTCTCTAGATTCCATTGCCAACAACTTCCAGGATGGTCAACAGATACAAGGTTTCTTTGCATAGTTGCCTGGTGGGCAACAATGGCACAATGTTTAGGAGAGCTGCAAGCAGACAGCAGTGATTTATTAATACCAAGCCTGCACAGAAACTTCTTCTGAGGATCCAACTAGTCTGAGAACCCCTAAAGACATTTCCTCCTTTCTGACCCAACACAAAATCAAAATAAAAAAGTAAATTAATGTGGGCTACAGAATAGTACAGTTTCGACCCTTGGTACCACATGAACCCCCAAGCACAGACCCAGGAGTAGCCCCTGAGCACCATGAGATGTGACCTAAGCTCCTATCCCTGAAACAGAGTGAATTAACAAATGTGGGAAAACTTAAAAAAAGGAAGTATATCTCCATTTGACTGTTTATGCTAAATGTTGTGAAAGTAGAAGGTAAAATTAACTACAGATTCAGTCGTGTCTTTTTAACAAGAAGTCTGCAATTCCATTTTTGCACTTGTCCTTTTGCCTCTGCTCTTTAATAAGTGTGTTTGTTGCCAAGACTGAAATCATTTTCTCAGGAGAGCCACACAACCAGGTACCTCTGTGACCCCAGCATAAAAACAAGGTTCTTGCACCCTTACACATGGTGAGTCTGATTTTAAATTCCTTGCCACTTAGCTCTAAGAAGAAACCCCCATAATAGGCATCCAGCAAAGGGACAAGACTGCTAACAGAATCCAGCCCTGGCCACTGGCATGGATCTCTGATGGCAGAGCTGCCAACAAATACGAAAGGGTTTTCCCACTGCTGGCCACATGGCAAAGCCAAGTTTGATTTTTCTAGGCCACTATCTGTGTGTCTGGCATCATGATTTAGTTGTATCTATGGGTTGCTTTGGGGTTGTTTGGTTTGGGTTTTTTTTTTTTTGAATCTCTAAAGATTCAAAAATCTTTAGAGATTATCACATCTATGCTATCATTGGACAGACAGGGAAATGGACACCTTAGGCAATGAAACAAGTGACTCATGATAATATTGACTGCTGACCACACTGTGAACAGAAGTTTTATCCCAACCCATGCAATGTTCCTCTAGTTCCTCCCTGTTGCCATCTTATCTTTACTATCTGAGAAACAGGATGGAAGGGTTTTCTCTTTCTCCTGGCCTATTAACAGAAACATTTTTAGTGATTGCTTTTGTGGGGGAGGCTCCAGTCCAAAGATATGAAATAGGCCGTTCAGAAGGTCCAAATAAACTGACTGGTTTCCATATTGTAAAACCACACCTGACCTGCTTCCTGTGTTTTTTGACATGTCCCAGTATTTCACCCTCTACTTCTGCTTCCTTGCAGCATTAGCCAGCTGAAGAAAAACAATTCATTCCCATGAGCCCAACAAGTTCTTTTCTTGGGGGTGTGAGGAGTGGGAAGAGCACATTGTCTTTGTGATAGAAACTCACATTTCCCTTCTTCAGCGAAGGGTGTCAGGATCAAGTCTATTGGGAACTCTGGTTGATTCTGCTGCTTCTCCCACTGAACGTGGTCACAACATTCTCAGTGGTAAGTAGAATCAACATTCCCACAGGAACTGGAAATGCTAAATTGTTAATAGCCTCCCTAGGGCTTAACTTCTTGCTATGATGCTTTCAATTATTTCATCACGGTTTAGACAGAGTAAAGTCTCACAATTAATGCTTCTAAGTGTCAAGCCAGCCAGGAGTTCAGTCTTCCAGGCTGAGAGGGCACAAGAGCTGGTCTTGTTGAGAGTCTCAAAGTCTTCACCTTCAATTTCATCCTCCCATAGAGAGATGGATGGACTCAGGTGATTTAAATGGGTGACCTTCTTGGGGGTCTCTCTTTTTTGAGTGGTGGGTCTTCAAGTACTGACCCAAATCAGCACCAGTATCACCTGGGATGCTGTAAATGCAACCTCTCAGTAACTCCTACCCATGATTTACTAAATCAGAAACAAGGAGTATAAGAAACATTTATTGAATAGGTCCTCCAGATGATTCGGATACATAATCTAATTCATTGGTACTATCTGGGGAATGAGGGCATGGGCACTGGAAGCTTTGACAAGACCCTTTGGCAGTTTTCCCTTCTGTTTCAGAATCACCATTTTTAGGATGGAACAATTCAAAACAGAGGTAGCTTGGGGAATCCCTCAAGACACCTCCTTGGAACTTGAGTCTCTAGCAGATCTCATTGGCCAGGGCAGGAAATTGGTTCTCCATCAGGCAGGGAACCTTTTCGTATCAGACAGTTCCTAAGCAGCATGTGTGGAGCAGATGGAGTGCTCTTAGCTTGCAGGGAAGCTGCACTGTCTAAGGGATCAGCTGTGACATGCACAACCTCACTCCCTATGCCCTCTCTGCTCTCGCCTGGGAAATGTGGTCCTTCTCTGAACCAGTCATTTGTCAAATGCCTTGTACTCCCCTCTAGTGAGAGGTTTTAACCCAATTGGACCCTCATCTTAAGCATGATGAGATTGCAAAGTATCCTTATGACTGAATAAAGAATAAAGAATCATACTTCTTGGGTCTTTGTTAAAAACCTGCAGTCAATTGGGAATGCTTCTGGTTTCATGTTCTACTCTGATCACTTTCTATTGGTATTTATACATACGTTGGTTAAGAACTTTTGGGGAGAGAACACATCCACAGTGCTCAGGAGCACCTCCTGACCCAGTAGTCTGGGATAGCTCCCTGTGGTGCTCAGGGGACTAGGCAGTGTCAGGGGTTAAACCAAGACTTCTGCATAGGAAGCATGTGTTCCAGTTTTCCTAGCTATTTCCTTGGTTAAGAATTTCTGATTCAGAAATTAAGAAGCCCTGTAGGGTATCCGTAATATTAAGTCAAGTTTTAGTTTCTCAGAACATTCCAAAGACTCCTCTAACAGATCAATGCCATTTGTTTCTGGATATACTGTTGCCCACTGATCACCAAGTTATCACTGTTGATCTAGAAATATGTCAGATCAGGTACCAGAGAGATAGTACAGTAGGTGGGTCACTTGCCTTGCACACAGCTGACCTAACCTGATTTTGATCCCAGGTACCTCCTATGGTTCCCCCAGCACTGCTAGGAGTGATCCCTTAGCACAGTTGACTGTGGCACCATCCACCCCCACCTCTGACCAAAAAAAGTGCCTAAACAGCTCAGCATCACCTTAACATACTTCATATCACAACCACTTGGAGTACCCAATTTTTTTTTCTTTTTGGGTCACACCCAGCTATGCTCAGAGGTTACTCCTGGCTCTGCACTCAGGAATTACTCCTGGTGGTACTCAGGAGACCATATGGGATACCAGGGGTTGAATCTGGGTCAGCTGTGTGCAAGGTAAACACCCTACCCACTGTACTATTGCTCTGGCCCCAAGTGCACAATTTTCATCAGTTTTTAAAATCCCTGGCCTCTCTAGCGTATGTGATATACAGATGTTCACCATTCATTAAGCATACATATTTTCTTAGCTTTTTAGATCGCTCTCCTGTTTTTAAACAAAACAAGATACAAGTGGGTAAGGAGAAGGCTTTAAGTGGTAGAGTACATGACTAGCATGCACTAGGCCTGGAGTTCAAGTCCTGGTACTGCAAAAACAAAAACAAAAGGACATAAAAGTAAAGACATCCCTACCTGGAATGGCTATCTTGTGAAACCATGTAGTTGCTTTTCACCCCAGGCCTTCACGAAAAGGCAGGATGGCAGGAGGACAACCCACTATGATGGAAAAGTGTCTCTAGTGGTGACAAGGCAAAATAAAGATACTTCCAAGCAACATAAAGATTCTTCCAAG